AACTTCTGCGCATGCTCTTTGGTTCATGTCAGTCTTCAAGACGTCACTTGCTTGCCGGCCAATCACGTTCTTTCTACGAGCAGCTCCGGTTGTGATTTAAGAGCTTTGCCTAATAAATCTGTCCAAAACTTCTCAAAAGTGATTTAAATGTATTTTTGCGTCGTTATGAAAATACTTGTGGATTAATCAAGCCCTGGATGCTGGCGTTAGATCAACGAGCTCGTATCATTCTTCAGTGGATATCAAAGCTAAGCTCCACAACTTGATCGTGCCTCTATGCATTTGTGACTTGTCGCACATGGTCGATTTATAAAGCTGACATGTTCTCTCTTGACATTTGCTATCTTAAATGTCACTCTGCTTTGCCAAACTGTTGTACTTGAGTTATTATAGCCTACCAGGGCAACTCATTGAAGTTGTTTGAGTCTAAATAATTAGTTTTCTTTACTATCCGACTTTAAATACTTAATGCATACTTGTTTTCTGTGTGTTGGTCATGCAGTGGCCTTGAAGTAAAATCAAATAGATTAATCCAATTAAAATGTTAATAAAAAAGTTTAAAAAGTGTTTTTTTCGATGTGATTAATAGCCTTAGGCCTAAGTGTAATTTAATTCCAGGTAATTCATGTAAGATAAGGTAAATTAGCCCTATGTATTATGTGCTGCGTTCCTATTAAAATTGTAGGCTTATATTATTTTGTCAGTCATCAATTGTACATTATGAAAATGTTTTTGCAAAAGTCATGGACTAAAATATGTAATTTTACACACTTGTAGTCTATTGTGTAGTAATTCATTTGTAATAATATTGCTAATAATGTTTTGTATTCCACATTAAGGCCTAGCTGAGTTTGCAGGTTTTTTTATGCATTCATTTTTTGCCTAAACATGTTTGGGTAAATAGTTCTGCACCACAAAAGCTATAACAATATAGGCGTGTTTAGTATACCTATTTAGGCTACAGAAACATGAGGAGTATATTGGAGACATTTTCAGGAAAGATAATTGCAATTTTATATGCAAATACACGTATTTATTATTGAGCAAAACGAAAGAAAATATGTGCATTTATATGCTTTATGAATTCCTGGACAGGATGACGCCAGCATCGAAGTGTATAAAGGTCACATAATATTCAACAGCTGGGCATTCCTAGTACACAGTTAAACCAATCAGAGGGTGATGTGGGAGTGGTCTTAATAATATTTCCCAACCCTTGGGCGAGGTAAGAACTACATTTAACCAATGAAAGATCGAAGAAGCGGTCAGTGGGCGCGACTGGGATGTTCTCCTGCCCTATTTGATAATCTCTGCATCAAATACCACCAATCATGAAAAAGGCATGCCATTTTTCTACATAACGTCAGTGACGTGCAGGAATGTCAGGGAATCTTTATGATCTTATGGTTTTAAGCAAGCAACATATACAGACAATTATTGACTAAATAATAGCCTAACGTTATTTATTATATTGTATATATGTATATTGACCAATTAAGATAAATAGTGATTATTCTAGAGACAGAAATTCATATATAATCATCATTTCAGAAATAAATGTTGAAAAGTCTTCAACAAATCAATAGCCAATCAAATTTCCCTACATGCTTGAAATTGTATTATTTAGCCCTTAAATGTAGCTTTTAAATAGGCAAAAAGAGTAGCAAAGAAAATAGTAGTCTAAGGAGGACCAAACTGGGGAGCTCATCCTAATAACTAAAGGGAGAAATAGACAGTTGTCTACATGGAGGAAATTAATACAACTACAGGCTATTTGGGGGGTGGAAACATTTGAATACATCGGAGAAATTAGTAAACAGCAAGATTTATCAATGGCACAAAATTAAATCAATGGGATCAAAAGAGGTGATTCACAGAGTTGACCTGTAGACACACTTGCTAAAGGCTATGGAATATGGAATGGAAACATGGTTCTTTTGGTGATGAAATAATGCAATAAGTATAATATTGTTCATCTATACGGTTTGTCACCCTAGGTCCTCCTGAGTGGCGCAGTGGTCTAAGGCACTGCATCGCAGATCTTTGCCACTAGAGATCCTGTGCCACTAGAGATCCTGGTTCGAATCCAGGCTCTGTCGTAGCCGGCCGCGACCGGGAGACCCATGGGGCGGCGCACAATTGGCCCAGCGTCGTCCAGGGGAGGGGATGTAGCTCAGTTGGTAGAGCATGGCATTTGCAATGCCAGGGTTGTGGGTTCGATTCCAGTATAAAAAATAAAAATGTATGCACTCACAGTTAGTAAGTCGCTCTGGATAAGAGCGTCTGCTAAATGACTTAAATGTAATGGTCCTCCCTGAAAGTGATGGAAAATTCATTCCAATGTCTGTGTTCCATAGAATATGACGTTCCAGGGATAGAAGATACTGGCATTTAAAGCACTGTTAACGTACCTGTAGACTTCCAGTCATTTCGCTAACGCTAGTTAGCATTGGCTCACGAAACTAACGCTAACTTTTTTCATACTGAAACATAAAAATGGTAAATGCCTGAATCTCGTAGTGTCCCTTTAACCACCAGCAGGGGGTGTGTATGAGCCATATGACCAAAAGTAATGTTTGTTTTAGTTCTATATCACTTTCATGAAGCTAAGCAGGGTTGGTCCTGGTCTGTCCCTGGATGGGAAACCAGATGCTGCTGAAAGTGGTGTTGGAGGGCAGTAGGGGGCACTCTTCCCTCTTGTCTAAGGAGATCTCAATGCCTCAGAGCAGTGAATGGGGACATTGCCTGTATAGAGTGCCTTCTTTTGGATGGGACGTTAAACGGATGTGCTGTCTCTCTCTGGTCACTAAAGAGCCCAAGGCACTTATTGTACGATTATGGGTGTTAACCCCGGTGTCCTGGCTAAATTCCCAATCTGGCCCTCATGCCATCATGGCAACCATCCCCAGCTACCAATTGGCTCATTCATCCCCCCTGTAACTATTCCCCAGGTCAGTGCTGTAAAAGAGAATGTGTTCTCAGTCAACTTACCTGATAAAATAATAAGGGGAAAAAATCCTATAGTGGGTGTTAAGGTTTTCCAAAAGACTACAGAACAAGTAGTCTAGCGTAGCCGACTAAACTCAACTCCACGATTTACGATGGAGTTGAGCGGCGACTACTGAGGGCAGACCGGAGATCCAACATTACATAAAATTAAGTTTATCAAAAACTACTGATTTCAGCACCCAAAGAATAGCCCACAATTACACATAACAATGTGGTTTTACGTGATGTCGGAGCTCCAGTTTGCAAACACTAGTTGCCGCTCAACTCCATCGTAAATCGTGGAGTTGAGTTTAATCGACTAAGTCTTGCGTAGCCATACCTCCATTTTAGTCATTTAGCAGACGCTCTTATCCAGAGCGACTTACAGGAGCAATTAGGGTTAAGTGCCTTGCTCAAGGACACATCGACAGATTTTTCACCTAGTCGGCTCGGGGATTAGAACCAGCGACCTTTCGGTTACTGGCACAACGCTCTTAACCACTAAGCTACCTGCCGCCCAAATCAAGTAAGGCTGGTTCTCGATGAAGCTACAGAACAACATTCATCGCCATCTGCTCGCCATTGAGAGGCCTGGAAGCCATATTGACACTCCCCAGTAGGAGCAGTCCTCCATAGGAATGAATGGAATTCTACAGTATTTCAATTAATTTTAAGGACAAAGTGGTGCCAAGATGGAAGCACTGTGGTTTCAACACAGCGCCCCCTATCAGTCATCTAGTGTATATATAAATAATTGCCGGTTACTAGTGATGACCATGTTGTCAGGGCTGGGCTGGACTGACCAAGCAAGAGAGGATGGCACTAGGCAGTGAGGTACTTTCAAACCAAACATTTGACTATTCTACTTACTGTAGTTAGGCCTACTATTACCCTGTCTCTACCTTTAAAGAACAATGTATTATACAATTGTTCAACATTTTATACAGGCCTAGACAATTTAGTCTTTCCTCTTTTCCTTTTCTCACCATCAGTATTTTAGACAGACAAAAGATTGGTAACAGTGGCACTCTCTTGTAAGCCTTATGTTCCACATAAGTATGAAGAGGATTAAGTCATTATCATTCATAACAAATACTTTATTGAAGCATGTTTGAATTAATTTGCATAAGTTGAGTTTACAAGATCAACAAGACCTGTTGGTTAGGGTTGGGAATTGCCAGGGACCTCACAATACGATGTTATCACGATACTTTGGTGCCAATACGATATGTATTGTAATTCTCACGATTGTAAATGTATTGCGATTCAATACTGTGATTTTATTGCGATTCGATGTTCCAAACATATTGCTCACCATATGTCTGCTGCAGAGGGACAAGAGAGAGCCATGAGAAAACGAGTTTTGATCAGTCATGGAACTAAAAGTGCTTCAAACAAATTGTCTCCCTATTTAAAAAGAAGATGGAGAACAAGCTATGAAGGACAAATACTGGCGTTTTGGTGCAGCCAACCAGTGCAAAAAATAACATTGTGATATTGTCAATAAAATATGATATGATATATCATCAAAAATAATATGTAACTGTATCCATTGTGTAATGTTGAGTTTAAAAGGCCTAAAAGTATTTTGCTATCTTGTAGTTGGGTAACTTTGAACTTCTCCATTCATTCAAAATTGGTTTATTCATTGATATGGTAGGTCTACACCCGAAGTAGGTCAGTGGGTCAAACTTATTTTTTTGTCACCGGAAGTACCGTCGCGGTCCCGCCCCTGACAACAAGGTCCCATTTTAAAATAACGGTCATGTTCTTGCGATACACTGTTTCAGATAATGCACGATTGAATAACATGTGTTTTAAGCACCATTTCTAAGTATAAATGTATGTACATAAGGCTGTGTGTCTTGTTTGTGGCGATATTTTGCATTCAACTAACAGCCGGTGGGACGCTACGATTGGCTCACTCCATAAAATAATACATTTTCAACCAATCGGAGCCTGTTGCGATGGAAGCTTTGGTCCTAGTTTTGTGCGAATTATGCAAATCCATCCCCAAATCTCCTTGCAGCTGATAGGGAGTGAAATAACAGATTCGGGATATTTACTTTGTATTGTAATTCGCTTGTAACACGACATAAACGGGAGATTCCCGTAGATCATAGTTTTATCTATGTTTAAATGATTTATTGTATGCGATTGTGGGACAGTTCTTCGTTTGAGGACATGTCTCTGTCAGGAAGTTATCAGAAACCGGTAGTGCAGTAGCTAGCTAGCTAAAGCTTTCGCCGGCCGGGTACAGTCAGGCGGACCTCTTTGTCTGACTGGGAAAGGGAACGCGTGTTCTTTTTTTTTGGCATTTTCTTTGTTTAGTAGTCTAAAGGGAACTCTGGGACCAGCGTTTCTCAAAAAGTGTTTAAAATATGCAAAACGTGAAGAAATACTTCACAGAAGGACTGATCCAATTTACGATCTTACTCAGTTTGATCGGAGTTCGCGTGGATGTCGACAGTTACTTGAACGGCTACTACTCACCGCTAGAGATTAACAACGGTCCTAGCTCAGCCTACATCCAGACACCGTTTCACAGTTTGAGGGACAATTGGGACGGGTACAGTGTGCACCCCAAATGTCCCGAGTTGGACTATTTCTTCGCCTGCCGTCGGCTCCTGGATGAGGTGAGAGCGCTTGGGTCGCCCATCCGGTTCCCTACGCAGTTGAGCGCATGGCTCGTGCACCAAGTACCTGACAGCTCGGAGTTCCGAGAGCCACCAAACAGCACGAGCAACATTAATGTTAGCGTGGGGCTGTTGTCAGAGAGTACCGGGGAAGAGGCCAACGACACTGAACTTCTCGCAGTCGACGAAAGCCATACTGCCGCCCAGCTAAGTGAGCCGGGGCCTTATCCCAGCACTGGAGCCTGCGAGATACCCAATGAGGCGAGTGCTGCAGCGAGATGGCATTAACTTTATCTGCTAAAAGCTACCTAATGTGTTGCCAGTGAAGTTATTGTGACGAAATGCTAACCACCAGGCCTTTAGCTACTCAACAAGTGTAGCTAGCTGACAGTGGGAATGAGAAGTGTATTGTGATAGGCATATACTAGTTGGCTAACTCAGGGGTTCCCAAACTTTTTCAATCGGGGTCCCCCTTCCAGCATCTGGCGGCCTCCGGGTGCGCACGCGCACGTCTATTTCTATGGGCGCAAGCACTGTTCATAATAATAATATGCCATTTAGCAGACGCTTTTATCCAAAGCGACTTAGTCATGTGTGCGTACATTTTTACGTATGGGTGGTCCCGGGGATCGAACCCACTACCCTGGCGTTACAAGTGCCATGCTCTACCAATTGAGCTACAGAGGAGCACTTGATGTGTCCCAAATAGGCCCCTATTTTGCTATATAGTGCACTATTTTAGACTTTTGACCAGGGTCTATATGTCAAAAGTAATGCACTACATAGGGAATACTGTATGGTGCCATTTGGGACACAAACTGTTCACACCCCTCTTGTTGGTGGAAAGACTTTTGCCGTTTTTAAAGCTTATTTCCAGCAATTCTACACATTTTGTAATGGGGGGGCAAAGAAAATGTTGCAGTTTTAAGGCTAACTGGGGGGGGTGGATAACAGGTCTGTAAAGTGCTGCACTAAGGATTCATGGTTATCTACCTTTGTCTTAGTCTTTCTCCAGGAAGTAATTAATCTCCAAGGGGTTGAGGAGGTGAGAGACAGAACAGCTGCAGGCTGGGTGGATGTAATTCCCTGAGGCTAGTTAATGTTGTTGAATCTGTAATTTTACCATTCACTTTACCCTTGTTCGCCAGCTGTGGGCCAGGAGAATAGGCAGGGAAGTAAGGGCTTAGTGTACTCCTGAGTGGCGCAGGAGTGTACTCCTGAGTGGCGCAGTGGTCTAAGGCACTGCACATTAGTGCTAACTGTGCCACTAGAGATCCTGGTTCGAATCCAGGCTCTGTCGCAGCCGGCCGCGACCGGGAGACTCATGGGCGGCGCACAATTTGCCCAGCGTCGTCCAGGGTAGGGGAGGGAATGGCCGGCAGGGATGTAGCTCAGTTGATAGAGCATGGCGTTTGCAATGCCAGGGTTGTGGGTTAGATTCCCATGGGGGGCCAGTATAAAAAAAAAATATGTATTCACTAACTGTAAGTCGCTCTGGATAAGAGCGTCTGCTAAATGACTAAAATGTAAAAATGTAAAATGTAGTACCTACCCCCGTTTTGCTTATACAAAACCAGTGGTCCTCTAATACAGCTGGCACTTCAGGGAAAGTCTAGTCAAGGAGGATTCTATTTATTTAGATATATTTATTTCGATTCTTTGTCTGGGACTTTATAGGTGTGTCAATCCCAGAAGTTTAATTTACTACCCTATCATTAGCCTAATGTTGTAGGTTTCAGCTGTGTATTTGTAGGGCTGTGACAGTCATGGAGTTCTGGAAACCCTGTTAAGTTGGGGAATTGAATTACTATTATCTCTTTGGTCCTTGGGTGAGTTTTTGTGGGCCAAAGACCCACACTCACTGCAGTGAAGAACACTGTTGTAGTGGCTCCTTATAGCTCTGGAGTGTCTAATGCGAAGGCCAGGTTATCTTATCTCCCATGAATTCAATTGCTACTGTTGGGAGATTTGTATTGTGTAACACCCCATTTATGTAGGCTACACTCACACACACCTGCTCACACACATTCCTGGGTCTAAATCCTCTTGTGGCTCTAGACACACACACACGGTTGAAACACAAGTTCATGCATCAACCTGTTGAACAACCGCAACCACAGTTGCCAACAGATTGATAACCGTTGTGGTTAACAGCAGTGCAGTAACAGTTCCCTGTAACCATTAACGGTAGCTAACGCACTTTTGTACATTAGCGCCCCAAAAATGTAATACTTCCAGGTCAACTGTAATATGAATACCATTGTAAAGCACAATTTCACCCCTTTCCAGCAACATCAATGACGAGACCTTCATGTTGCCCGTCTCTGCATTAAAAAAATGGTGGGTGGGGAAGCGAAAGCTACTGCATCATAGTGAAAGGGGGAGATATGTCGTGTGGGGAACCAGCTTTTTTCACCCGATTTGTCCAACTTATCACCTCTAAAATGAAAATAAAACGTAATGTCTCATTACATACCTATTTGAAGGTTTGTGTCGAATTTGAATAGGGTTTTTAGGGTGGCGCTAAATTTATCTTCACAATTAAACTGTGGGTGTCACGGTTTTTGAGAGTCATGATGGCTCGCAGGGATTATGTGAAAAATTAACAATTGATTGAACTAACTATTGATGAACTCACGAGTAATTCACTTTACACTCACCATTGATAATTTCTTGTTTTGAATCTGCGAGAGAAGCGTTACACCTGGTGGACAGAGGCTGGACGGCACAGAATGACATGTCACACTTTAACGTACAGTGTCAGCGGGGTCAGGTTTTTTTCCAACTTTTCTCCAACACTATTGGTCCATTACCATGTCAAGCAACGCTGAATCGAAACTTAGTTCACACCCCGGACACAGTCGCTACAGTCCCATTAGTTTTCATTGCAGCCTCGTATGAATGCCGCGGTTGCCCACATATGTACGGAACAGAGTTAGCTACCGTTAACAGTTCCCTGTAAGCATTTCACGTTAAGGTCTACACCTGTTGTATTCGGCGCATGTGACAAATAAAGTTCGGTTTGAGTTAAGTGGAGCCTGAGTTATTTAACAGTCACAATTGGTTCATTGTAGCAGAAAGCAGATGCCTAAACCTTTCCTCCTATAAGGCTACAATATAAGGGGCATTGTTGCAATGTTTCAGACATTCTTCTTAGGAGATGATTGCTAGGCTGCTGGACTCACTCAACCTTGAATAGGCCTGTAACAGTTGGTTTAATCACAATGGCTTACAAAGCTGTCTTTCTTTGTCCCATTCTCTCTTTCTCCCCACCTTCATCTTCTACCCCATTTCTCTGGACTCCCGCAGTATCTCCCCACATTTTTCTTTCTCTCTACCTCTCAATAGCTAGGTTTGCATTCAATAGACAACATATTTTCATGCGGAAATTCTAGAATTCACATAAAGAAAATATGCTCATTTTCCCACCAGTGGTGTGTTTCCACCAAATTGACTTGTTGCGGATAAAAATCGGTGCGTGATGAAATTATTTAATCTGTAGCTTAATAAACTGCATGGTTTCCCGAGTCGTAGTGGGAGGAACACACATCATGTCATCGCATGACTCCAAGTTTACTTCAATATGATGGTTATTATACTGAAAAAAAATATAAATGCAACAATTTCCAAGATTTTACTGAATTACAGTTCATAGAAGGAAATCAGCCACTTGAAATACATTTATTAGGCCCTAATATATGGATTTCACATGACTGTGCAGGGGCACAGCCATGGGTGGGCCTGGGAGGGCATAGGCCCACCCACTGGGGAGCCAGGCCCAGACAATCAGAGAGCACCAGCAGGCCAGTGACTCAGCCCCTGCAACAGGGTTAGAGGCAGAGAACCCCAGTGGAGAGGGGAACCGGCCTGGCAGAGACAGCAAGGGCTGTTCGTTGCTCCAGCCTTTCCGTTCACCTTCACACTCCTGGGCCAGACTACACTCAATCATATGACCTACTGAAGAGATAAGTCTTCAGTAAAGACTTAAAGGTTGAGACCGAGTCTGCGTCTCTCACATGGGTAGGCAGACTGTTCCATAAAAATGGAGATCTATAGGAGAAAGCCCTGCCTCCCGCTGTTTGCTTAGAAATTCTAGGGACAATTAGGAGGCCTGCGTCTTGTGACCGTAGCGTACGTATTGGTATGTACGGCAGGACCAACTCGGAAAGATAGGTAGGAGCAAGCCCATGTAACGCTTTATAGGTTAACAGTAAAACCTTGAAATCAGCCCTTGCCTTAACAGGAAGCCAGTGTAGGGAAGCTAGCACTGGAGTAATATGATCAAATTTCTTGGTTCTAGTCAGGATTCTAGCAGCCGTATTTAGCACTAACTGAAGTTTATTTAGTGCTTTATCCGGGTAGCCGGAAAATAGAGCATTGCAGTAGTCTAATCTAGAAGTAACAAATGCATGGATTAATTTTTCTGCATCATTTTTGGACAGAAAATTTCTGATTTTTGCAATGTTACGTAGATGGAAAAAAGCTGTCCTTGAAACAGTCTTGATATGTTCGTCAAAAGAGAGATCAGGGTCAAGAGTAACGCCTAGGTCCTTCACAGTTTTATTTGAGACGACTTTACAACCATCAAGATGAATTGTCAGATTTAACAGAAGATCTCTTTGTTTCTTGGGACCTAGAACAAGCATCTCTGTTTTGTCCGAGTTTAAAAGTAAAAAGTTTTCAGCCATCCACTTCCTTATGTCTGAAACACAGGCTTCTAGCGAGGGCAATTTTGGGGCTTCACCATGCTTCATTGAAATGTACAGCTGTGTGTCATCCGCATAGCAGTGAAAGTTAACATTATGTTTTCGAATAACATCCCCAAGAGGTAAAATATATAGTGAAAACAATAGTGGTCCTAAAACGGAACCTTGAGGAACACCGAAATGTACAGTTGATTTGTCGGAGGACAGACCATTCACAGAGACAAACTGATATCTTTCCGACAGGTAGGATCTAAACCAGGCCAGAACTTGTCCGTGTAGACCAATTTGGGTTTCCAGTCTCTCCAAAAGAATGTGGTGATCGATGGTGTCAAAGGCAGCACTAAGGTCTAGTAGCACGAGGACAGATGCAGAGCCTCGGTCTGACGCCATTAAAAGGTCATTTACCACCTTCACAAGTGCAGTCTCAGTGCTATGATGGGGTCTAAAACCAGACTGAAGCATTTCGTATACATTGTTTGTCTTCAGAAAGGCAGTGAGTTGCTGCGCAACAGCTTTTTCTAAAATTTTTGAGAGGAATGGAAGATTCGATATTGGCCGATAGTTTTTTATATTTTCCGGGTCAAGGTTTGGCTTTTTCAAGAGAGGCTTTATCACTGCCACTTTTAGTGAGTTTGGTACACATCCGGTGGATAGAGAGCTGTTTATTATGTTCAACATAGGAGGGCCAAGCACAGGAAGCAGCTCCTTCAGCAGTTTAGTAGGAATAGGATCCAGTATGCAGCTTGAAGGTTTAGAGGCCATGATTATTTTCATCATTGTGTCAAGAGATATAGTACTAAAACACTTAAGTGTCTCTCCCGATCCCAGGCCCTCGCAGAGCTGTGCAGATCCAGGACAGCTAAGCCCTGGAGGAATACGCAGATTCAAAGAGGAGTCCGTAATTTGCTTTCTAATGGTCATGATCTTTTCCTCAAAGAAGTTCATGAATTTATCACTGCTGAAGTGAAAACCATCCTCTCTTGGGGAATGCTGCTTTTTAGTTAGCTTTGCAACAGTATCAAAAAGAAATTTTGGATTGTTCTTATTTTCCTCGATTAATTTGGAAAAGTAGGATGATCGAGCAGCAGTGAGGGCTCTTCGGTACTGCACGGTACTGTCTTTCCAAGCTAGTCGGAAGACTTCCAGTTTGGTGTGGCGCCATTTCCGTTCCAATTTCCTGGAAGCTTGCTTCAAAGCTCGGGTATTTTCTGTATACCAGGGAGCTAGTTTCTTATGACAAATGTTTTTAGTTTTTAGGGGTGCAACTGCATCTAGGGTATTGTGCAAGGTTAAATTTAGTTCCTCAGTTAAGTGGTTAACTGATTTTTGTCCTCTGACGTCCTTGGGTAGGCAGAAGGGGTCTGGAAGGGCATCAATGAATTTTTGTGTTGTCTGAGAATTTATAGCACGACTTTTGATGCTCCTTGGTTGGGGTCTGAGCAGATTATTTGTTGCGAGGGGTACGTCAATTGAGTGGGTTGAGTTACTGACGTGATCTTCCTGTCTGGGTTGGCGACCCCCCCCCCCCTTGGTTTGTGCTGTGGTGGAGACCTCTGTGGGCTATACTCGGCCTTGTCTCAGGATTGTAAGTTGGTGGTTGGGGATATCCCTCTAGTGGTGCGGGGGCTGTGCTTTGGCGGAGTGGGTGGGGTTATATCCTTCCTGTTTGGCCCTGTCCGGGGGTTTCTTCGGATGGGGCCACAGTGTCTCCGGACCGCTCCTGTCTCAGCCTCCAGTATTTATGCTGCAGTAGTTTATGTGTCGGGGGGCTGGGGTTAGTTGGTTATACCTGGAGTACTTCTCCTGTCTTATCCAGTGTCCTGTGTGAATTTAAGTATGCTCTCTCTAATTCTCTCGTTCTCTCTTTCTCTCTGAGAACCTGAGCCCTAGGACCATACGTCAGGACTACCGGGCATGATGACACCCTGCTGCCCCCAGTCCGCCTGGCCTTGCTGCTATTCCAGTTTCAACTGTTCTGCCTGCGGCTACGAAACCCCTACCTGTCCCAGACCTGCTGTTTTCAACTCTAAATGATCGGCTATGAAAAGCCAACTGAGAGACCTGAGCCCTAGGACCATACGTCGGGACTACCGGCCGTGGTGACTCCTTGCTATCCCCAGTCCGCCTGGCCTTGCTGCTATTCCAGTTTAAACTGTTCTGCCTGCGGTTATGGAACCCCTACCTGTCCCAGACCTGCTGTTTTAAACTCTAATGATCGGCTATGAAAAGCCAACTGAGATTTATTCCTGATTATTATTTGACCATGCTTGTCACTTATGAACATTTTTGAACATCTTGGCATGGTTCTGTTATAATCTCCACCCGGCACAGCCAGAAGAGGACTGGCCACCCCTCATAGCCTGGTTCCTCTCTAGGTTTCTTCCTAGGTTTTGCCTTTCTAGGGAGTTTTTCCTAGCCACCGTGCTTCTACACCTGCATTACTAGCTGTTTGGGGTTTTAGGCTGGGTTTCTGTACAGCACTTCGAGATATTAGCTGATGTAAGAAGGGCTATATAAAATAAAATTGATTGATTGATTGATTGATTTTTCCCCACAAAAGGGCTTTATTACAGACAGAAATGCTCCTCAGTTTCATCAGCTGTCCGGGTGGCTGGTCTCAGACAATCCCGCAGGTGAAGACGCCGGATGTGGAGGTCCTGGGCTGGTGTGGTTACACTTGGTCTTCGGTTTTGAGGCCGGTTGGACGTACTGCCAAATTCTCTAAAGGCACGCTCCCTTAAAACTAGAGACATCTGTGGCATTGTGTTGTGTGACAAAACTGCACATTTTAGAGTGGCCTTTTATTTTCCAGAGTACAGGGTGCACCCGTGTAATGATCATGCTTGTTGATATGCCACAACTGTCAGGTGGATGGATTATCTTGGCAAAGGAGAAATGCTCACCAACAGGGATGTAAACAAATTTTGGCACAGAATTTGCGAGAAATAACCTTTTTGTGCGTATGGAAAATTTCTGGGATATTTTATTTCAGCTCAAGAAACATGGGACCAACACTTTACATGTTGCGTTTATATATTTGTTCAGTATATATCAATATTTGCGCATCAAGGCGTTTCCACCGCCATTTCTCCCATAATTTATTTTAGACACAAAAATATCCCACCATGTCGAACAAACAAATGATCTGTTGGCATTTATAAAATTGTCCATCACAGCTGTCGTGATTGTTTTTGTAAAGGTATAAAAACTGTGGATGGAAACGTGGTCCGTTCCTAAATGTATTCTGGTCGACCCTTCTTTCTATTGGTCTTTCCTGTTATCAGGAGGTTGAGGCACTGAAGGGGCGGATGGAAGAGGATGAGGATGAAGGCAGAGCGGAACCTGTTTCCCTGACCCAGCTGACTCTCAGTTCCACACTAGAACATGAGGTACATACAGCGATGAGAATTAATTCTGTCTTGGAATGTAGGCTAGCTAGCTAGAGTAAACGTTCAGCTCTGTAGGCGTGCCTTTGTTTAACATACTATTTGCTCTGTGTGTGATGACCCTCATGTTTTGTGTGTTTATAATAGGCGCTTGCCTTGTCATGTTTTCATTGTGTGCGTGTCAAGTTATTCATCACAGATTTTCCAGTGTGTGTGAGGATTTGTTCACTGTGTGTTGTTGATTCCAGGGTTTGTTAAGTAGCGGAGCCCCTCTCTCCAGCCCTGAAGACCCCCCTCCCCCTGACATCGACCAGCACTGGAGCCAATTCCTGTCCCTACCCATCTACGAATTTGACGTAAGTGGTATCCCTTGATGATGTCATGGTGATATTTGTGAAAAGAGAAGTCAATTTGAAAAGGTCAGTTATCTAATAATGGTTTCGAACTCCAAGGGTTTTAGGATTTACCTGTGTGTTACTGTGATTTTCCTTTGAGCTACTGTGTATGTCAGGGTGTGTTTATCTCCGTGCCTTTTATAATATGTGTGTGTGTGTGTGTGTGTTCTCCAGGATTTACACCCGCTGGTTCCTCAGCAGCTGTCTGACCTCGACGCCAACATCTCCAGCGCCATCAGCCAGGACGTCAGTCTCCGCGATGCCATAGTAACAGGCTCTGTCTACGACATGATCCCCCCGAGGGGTGGAGTCAGGACCCTGGTGGCCCGGCAACCAAGAGGGCCCCTCTTCCGACTCGAGTCCACAAACTCCTCCCACTCCGACTCTTCGCCCGGTACGACCACAGGGCTGGCCGTACTACCGTATGCCGCTGTGGTCAACGGAACGCGAAACGGGTCATCGTCCCATGGTGCACTTGAAGGCTATTTGGACGAGGCGGTGTTTGACCGGATCAACCTGCTGGGGCTGGAGGGCTGCTTGGACACCATGGACGCCCAGCTACTGGGGATCCTACAGGGCATCTACCCTCGTGTCCTGGAGGACCTCGACTCAGACTCCGGCCTTTCTCTGGAGAGCAGCTCTCAAGGCCCAGACTCCCCAGGTGAGTTGGAAGACTTCTGGGGCTGCTTTAGGGAGGTGCAATGTTCAGTGTTTCCCCTGTACCGCTGCTGCTAAATTGTTGCCGCCACACGAACAACAAAAAAATACTTAAATGACTAAACCCAGACAGAAAGAATGTAGAGAAAATAATTGACCTATATAATTCTAAATAATATAATCATTGAGAACTAGAAATAACCTAAATTAAAGCTACACTGTAGGGGAGAATCGATAATTCCCAAAATAATGAATTTAGGAGTATTTTTGCCATGGCTAGATTACTGACTGGCCACACAGGGTACATCCCAGGGGCCCCGATCGGGGTCCCCATTGGTTCTGTTGTAATGTTTGACCATAAGAACACAGAAATAGCCATGGCAAGTGGTGTAGAATTGCATGAAATTAATTCTGGACTGATTTAAGCCACTCCCACAAACCTTCCCTTCCACGACCATTGCAACCGCTGCTTAAAGAAAATAGGGCTAACACTGGTTCAGATAGTAATGCATTGTGGAGAGGGGACATGATGATCCTCTGTTGTGCTATATATACACTGCTCAAAAAAATAAAGGGAACACTAAAATAACACATCCTAGATCTGAATGAATGAAATAATCTTATTAAATACTTTTTTCTTTACATAGTTGAATGTGCTGACAACAAAATCACACACAAATTATCAATGGAAATCAAATTTATCAACCCATGGAGGTCTGGATTTGGAGTCACCCTCAAAATTAAAGTGGAAAACCACACTACAGGCTGATCCAACTTTGACGTAATGTCCTTAAAACGAGTCAAAATGAGGCTCAGTAGTGTGTGTGGCCTCCACGTGCCTGTATGACCTCCCTACAACGCCTGGGCATGCTCCTGATGAGGTGGCGGATGGTCTCCTGAGGGATCTCCTCCCAGACCTGGACTAAAGCATCCGCCAACTCCTGGACAGTCTGTGGTGCAACGTGGCGTTGGTGGATGGAGTGAGACATGATGTGCTCAATTGGATTCAGGTCTGGGGAACGGGCGGGCCAGTCCATAGCATCAATGCCTTCCTCTTGCAGGAACTGCTGACACACTCCAGCCACATGAGATCTAGCATTGTCTTGCATTAGGAGGAACCCAGGGCCAACCGCACCAGCATATGGTCTCACAAGGGGTCTGAGGATCTCATCTCGGTGCCTAATGGCAGTCAGGCTACCTCTGGCGAGCACATGGAGGGCTGTGCGGCCCCCCAAAGAAATGCCACCCCACACCATGACTGACCCACCGCCAAACCGGTCATGCTGGAGGATGTTGCAGGCAGCAGAACGTTCTCCACGGCGTCTCCAGACTCTGTCACGTCTGTCACATGTGCTCAGTGTGAACCTGCTTTCATCTGTGAAGAGCACAGGGCGCCAGTGGCGAATTTGCCAGTCTTGGTGTTCTCTGGCAAATGCCAAACGTCCTGCACGGTGTTGGGCTGTAAGCACAACCCCCACCTGTGGACGTCGGGCCCTCATACCACCCTCATGGAGTCTGTTTCTGACCGTTTGAGCAGACACATGCACATTTGTGGCCTGCTGGAGGTCATTTTGCAGGGCTCTGGCAGTGCTCCTTCTGCTCCTCCTTGCACAAAGGCGGAGGTAGCAGTCCTGCTGCTGGGTTGTTGCCCTCCTACGGCCTCCTCCACGTCTCCTGGTAGCGCCTCCATGCTCTGGACACTACGCTGACAGACACAGCAAACCTTCTTGCCACAGCTCGCATTGATGTGCCATCCTGGATGAGCTGCACTACCTGAGCCACTTGTGTGGGTTGTAGACTCCGTCTCATGCTACCACTAGAGTGAAAGCACCGCCAGCATTCAAAAGTGACCAAAACATCAGCCAGGAAGCATAGGAACTGAGAAGTGGTCTGTGGTCACTACCTGCAAAACCAGTCCTTTATTGGGGGTGTCTTGCTAATTGCCTATAATTTCCACCTGTTGTCTATACCATTTGCACAAGAGCATGTGAAATGTATTGTCAATCAGTGTTGCTTCCTAAGTGGACAGTTTGATTTCACAGAAGTGTGATTGACTTGGAGTTACATTGTGTTGTTTAAGTGTTCCCTTTATTTTTTTGAGCAGTGTATATACTACCAGTCAAAAGTTTGGACAACTACTAATTCAAGTGTTTTTCTTTCTTTTTTATATTGTAGAATAATAGTGAAGACATCAAAACTATGAAATAACACACATGGAATCATGTAGTAACCAAAAAAGTGTTAAACAAATCAAAATAGATTTTATATTTGAGATTCTTCTAATAGCCACCCTTTGCCTTGATGACAGCATTGCACACTCTTGGCATTCTCTCAACCAGCTTCATGAGGTAGTCACCTGGAATGCATTTCAATTAACAGGTGTGCCTTCTTAAAAGTTAATTTGTGGAATTTCTTTCCTCAATGCGTTTGAGGCAATCAGTTGTGAAGGGGGGGTATACAGAAGATAACCCTATTTGATAAAAGACCAAGTCCATATTATGGCAAGAACAGCTCAAATAAGCAAAGCGAAACGACAGTCCATCATCACTTTATGACATGAAGGTCAGTCAATACGGAACATTTCAAGAACTTTGAACATTTCTTCAAGTGCAGTCGCAAAAACCATCAAGCGCTATGATGAAACTGGCTCTCATGAGGACCGCCACAGGAATGGAAGACCCAGAGTTACCTCTGCTGCAGAGGATAAGTTCATTTCAGTTACCACCCTCAGAAATTGCAGCCCAAATAAATGCTTAGTTCAAGTTACAGACACATCTCAACATCAATTGTTCAGAGGAGACTGTGTGAATCAGGCCTTCATGGTCGAATTGCTGCAAAGAAACCACTACTAAAGGCCACCAATAATAAGAAGAGACTTGCTTGGGCCAAGAAACACGAGCAATGGACATTAGACTGGTGGAAACTTGTCCTTTGGTCTGGAGTTCAAATTTGAGATTTTTGGTTCCAACCGCCGTGTCTTTGTGAGATGCGGTTTGGGTGAACGGATGATCTCTTCATGTGTATTTCCACCGTAAAGCATGGAGGAGGAGGTGTTAAGGTGTGGGGGTGCTTTGCTGGTGACACTGTCTGATTTATTTTGAATTCAAGGCACATTTAACCAGCATGGCTACCACAGCATTCTGCAGCGATACGCCATCCCATCTGGTTTGGGCTTAGTGGGACTATCATTTGTTTTTCAACAGGACAATGACCCAACACACCTCCAGGCTGTGTAAGGGCTATTTTACCAAGAAGGAGAGTGATGGAATGCTGCATCAGATGACCTGGGCTCCACAATCCCCCGACCTCAACCCTATTGAGATGTTTTGGGATGAGTCGGACCGCATAGTGAAGGAAAAGCAGCCAACAAAGTGCTCAGCATATGTGGGAACTCCTTCAAGACTGTTGGAAAAGCATTCCAGGTGAAGCTGGTTGAGAGAATGCCAAGAATGTGCAAAGCTGTCATCAAGGCAAAGGGTGGCTATTTGAAGAATCTCAAATATAAAATATATTTTGAGTTGTTTAACACTTTTTTGGTTACTACATGATTCCATGTGCGTTATTTTATAGTTTTGATGTCTTCACTATTATTGTACAATGTAGAAAATAGTAAAAATAAAGAAAAACCCTGGAATGAGTAGGTGTGTCAACTTTTGACTGGTACTGTGTTTGTGTGTGTGTGTGTGTATATGTATATATATATATACTCTGAAAGTATTCAGAACCCTTCCCTTTTTTCCACATTTTGTTACAGCCTTATTCTAAAATGGATTAAATAAATAAAATAATTCATCAATCTACACACAATACCCCATAATGACAAAGCAAAAACATTTTTGCAAATGTATAAAATAAAACTATCGTATTTACGTAAGTATTCAGACCCTTTACTTAGTATTTGTTGAAGCACCTTTGACAGCGATTATAGCCTCGTCTTCTTGGGTATGACGCTACAAGCTTGGTTTCTTCCATTCTTCTCGGCAGATCCTCTCAAGCTCTGTCAGGTTGGATAGGGCATGTCGCTGCACAGCTATTTTCAAGTCTCGCCAGAGATGTTCGATCGGGTTCAAGTCCGGGTGTGGCTGGGCATCTCAAGGACATTCAGAGACTTGTCCAGAAGGCACTCCTGCGTTGTCTTAGCTGTGTGCTTAGGGTCGATGTCCTGTTGGAAGGTGAACCTTCGCCCCAGTCTGAGGTCCTGAGCGCGCTGGAGCAGGTTTTCATGAAGGATCTCTCTGTACTTTGCTCCGTCCAGCTTTGCCTCGATCCTGACTAGTCTCCCAGTCCCTGTCGCTAAAAAACATCCCCTCAGCATGATGCTGACATCAACATGCTTCACCGTAGGGATGGTGGCAGGTTTCCTCCAGACGTGGCGCTTGGCAATCAGGCCAAAGAGGTCAATCTTGGTTTCATCAAACCAGAGAATCTTGTATCTCATGGTCTGAGAGTCTTTAGGTGCCTTTTGGCAAACTCAAAGCGGGCTGTCATGTGCCTTTTACTGAGGAGTGGCTTCCGTCTGGCCACTCTACCATACAGGCCTGATTGGTGGAGTGCTGCAGAGATGGTTGTCCTTCTGGAAGGTTCTCCCATCTACACAGAGGAACTCTGGAGCTCTGTCAGAGTGACCATCAGATTATTGGTCATCTCCTTGACCAAGGCCCTTCTCCCCCGATTGCTCAGTTTGTCCGGATGGCCAGCTCTAGGAAGAGTCTTGGTGGTTCCAAACGTATTCCATTTAAGAATGATGGAGGCCACTGTGTTCTTGGGGACCTTCAATGCTGCAGACATTTTTGGTACCCTTCCCCAGATCTGTGCCTCGAGACAATCCTGTCTCTGAGCTCTACGGACAATTCCTTCGACCTGATGGCTTGGTTTTTGCTCTGACATGCACTCTCAACTATGGGACCTTATATAGACTGGTGTGTGCCTTTCCAAATCATGTCCAATCAATTGAATTTACCACAGGTGGACTCCAATCAAGTTGTAGAAACATCAAGGATGATCAATGGAAACAGGATGCATCTGACCTCAATTTTGAGTCTCATAGAAAAGGGTCTGAATACTTATGTAAATAAGGTATTTTTATTTTTTGCAAAAATGTCTAAACCCTGTTTTCGCTTTGTAATTATGGGTTATTGTGTTTAGATTAATTAGGTTTTTATTTTTTTATTCCAATTTAGAATAAGTCTAATGTAACGAAATGTGGAAAAAGTCAAGGGGTCTGAATACTTTCCGAAGGTACTGTATATCACATATCTGCAACATTCTAAACAATGTAAAGTAGCTTACATATTCGTATGTACACTTGACTCCCCAGGTGCATCTGAGGTGTCGTCATCGTCTTCCAGTTCATTTTTTGAGGACGAGGGTGGGGCTACGGGCTACAGCAGCGAGGTGGACTCCCTCCCCTCCAAGTGCATTGACGACTACGACACATGGTCGCCTGTGGATCTCAGCGAGAGCGTGTGGCACGACCACAGCTACTCCTCCCCAGCCTTCTCCCAACCGTCAGCCACCACGTTCCCCCACAAAGCCATCAAAGAGGAGCCTTTCAGCGACGAAGACGACGACGGGGAAGATAACGAAGACCGGGAGCTTAGCCGCGACCAACTCCGCACCAGGGCGCTGCATGTCCCGTTCTCGGCGACGGAGATCGTCAGCATGCCCGTGGAGGAGTTCCTGGAGCTCCTGGAGGGGCGTGGCCTCTCGCCCGCCCAGGTTGCCCTCCTGAGGGACATCCGCCGTCGAGGGAAGAACAAGCTGGCGGCGCAGAACTGCCGCAAGCGCAAACTGGATGCCATCACGGGGCTCCAGGAGGAGGTGGAGAGGCTGCAAGCCCAGAGGAACAGGCTGCTTAGGGAGAGGCAGCACACGGCCAAGGCTCTTGGCGCCGCGGGCCAGCGCATGGAGGACCTCTCCAGGGACATATTCTCCAGGCTCAGGGACAGCTCAGGACGACCCCTGACCCCAGAGAGATACACCCTGCAGTGCGAGGCCAACGGGAGGTTTGTGGTGCAGCAGGTCAGGCGTCCTAGTGTTGCCACGACGACAGCTGGAGGTAAAACGGACAAAAGGAAGAAGAAGAAGCCTTGATGCAGCAAGGGCTGCTGGTACTTGACACGTTAAGAGGTGTTATTGTTTTTTCTGAACTTACAGGCCAGATTCTGGTCATGTGACTGTTTCCGGATCTTTCTCTTCCTCCTTGTCTGGACTCTCCGATCTTAGGAGCCCAAAATGGCAGAAACATATTTTTTAAAATACACCCAAAAACTTACATATACAAATATTACAGAATGTGTGAATGGAGCTTTTTTTCTGGAAAAAGAAACAGCTCAAACACTGGACTCTTTAATGTTTTTTTCACTATATAAATGAAAGGGTTGTATTATCATTAAAGCATCAAGGAGAATGTATTCTTGTCCTGAGGATGTCAGGCTGCAGTATTATTTGTATAGTTCCTACAAAAATAAATTGTAGGCCAGTTAAAAATAAAAACAGAATGCCAATTCTATAGCTTAAAGGGACACTTCGGGAATTTGGCAATGAGGCCATATATCTACTTCCCCGTAGTCAGACAAATTTGTGGATACCATTTGGTATGTCTCTGTGTCCGGTATGAAGGAAGTTAGAGGTAATTTCACGAGCCAATGCTAACTAGCGTTAGCGCAATGACTGGAAGTCTATGCTACCAGATGCCCATAGACTAGTTAGTAATTGCGCTAGTTAGCAACTAACTTCAAACTGCATACAGAGACATAGAAATGGTATCCACTAGTTCATCTGACCCTGGGGAAGTAGATAAAAGGCCTCATTGCCAAAATCCTGAAGTATCCCTTTAACCTCAACTTAAAATTGATAGCAGTTGTTTTGGCATCAATTGATAAATATTTCTAAAAATCTGACCAATGTTCCCCCATAGACCCTAGTTTAAGTTGAAATGTTTCAAAACTCAATCTAACTGGCAACATGTTAGACGTCATTTGAAAGGGCTTAATTTAATTTTCAGTCATGTTTTGATAGCTGTGGCTATTGCTTTATGTATGATCACTTTTTTGTATGGTTTTTTTTATTTTTACTTTTTACCTATTTTTCTCCCCAATTGGTAGTTAGTCTTGTCCCATCGCTGCAACTCCCGTACGGACTCGGGAGAGGCGAAGGTCGAGAGTCATGCGTCTTCCGAAACACGACCCCGCTATGCCGCACTGCTTCTTGACACACTGCTCTCTTAACCCGGAAGCCAGACGCACCAATGTGTCGGAGGAAACACCGTACAGCTGGTGACCGTAGTCAGCGTGCATGCGCCCGGCCCGCCACAAGGAGTCACTAGAGCGCAATGCGACAAGGATATCCCAGCCGGCCAAACCCTCCCCTAACTCGGACGATGCTGGGCCAATTGTGCACCGCCTCATGTGTCTCCCGATCGAACCCGGTCTGTAGTGATGCATCTAGCACTGCGATGCAGTGCCTTAGACCGCTGCGCCACTCGGGAGGTCCGTATGATCACTTTTTTTATGGTTTTTTTATTCAAAATGAATTGTTTTTTTAAGCACACTATGCTTTTCTCCTCTGATATTATGAAGCAGGGCTTTGAGTCTGGTGGTTTTCATTCTACCTCAACGGATTTATATAGAGGGTTTGGGCGGATTGTGGGAGAGACTATTTTTTTATTGCATGGGGAGAGGGGTGGTTGAGGAACCCCAAGTCAATGCAAATACTTCACTGTAGTAGGCCAATGTTGGTGATACAACTGACGTAACCCCCCTCCACTTAGTGAAGCAATGCATTCACCTGCTTTTGTGTTCAGAAGTATAGTATGCTTCTATGTATGTTTATATTATATGATAGATTTAAGAAAATGAGTAGTGGAAGATAAAACAGGAAAAAAAACATACTGTACAGAGTTCTACAAGACAGAGGTAGGCTATAGTACCTACATCAAGCAAGTGAAAGCACCTATTCAGTTGTCTTTTAATTTAGATAAATATAGAGCATTTTCTTTACACCTCAGAAGTTAGTTTTGCCTTGGACAAAACCAATCAGATTCCAAGATGCACTGAACAGGTATCTTTTTTTAATCTTTTTTTATTTTTTCTTAGTAGTTTCTAGTTCATTTTTTATTTATTGTTGTGTGTGGGAGTAAATGAGGCTGAATGAATTTTTACAAATCCTTAATTTGTTTGACCATAAAATATACACTATATATAACAGTATGTGGACACCCCTTCAAATTAGTGGATTCGGCTATTTCAGCCACACCCGTTGCTGACAGGTGTATAAAATCGAGCACACAGCCATGCAATCTCCATAGACAAACATTGGCAGTAGAATTGTCTTACTGAAGAGCTCAGTGAAGAGCTCAGTGAATTTCAACGTGGCACCGTCATAGGGTGCCATCTTTCCAAAAAGTTAGTCAAATGTATGCCCTGTGTAGCTCAGTTGGTGGAGCATGGCGCTTGCAACGCCAGGGTTGTGGGTTCGATTCCCACGGGGGGAGAGTATTAAAAAAAATGTATGCACTCACTAACTGTAAGTCGCTCTGGATAAGAGCATCTGCTAAATGACTAAAATGTAGAGCTGTCAACTGTAAGTGCTGTTATTGTGAAGTGGAAAAATCTAGGAGCAACAACGGCTCAGCCGCGAAGTGGTAGGCCACACAAGCTCACAGAATGGGACCGCCGGGGGCTGAAGAGTGTAACGTGAAAAAGTCGTCTGTCCTCGGTTGCAACACTCACTACTGAGTTCCAAACTGCCTCTGGAAGCAACGTCAGCACAATAAGTGTTGGTCGGGAGCTTCGTGAAATGGGTTTCCATGGCCGATAAACCGCACACAAGCCTAATATCACCATGCGCAATGCCAAGCGTCGGCTGGAGTGGTGTAAAGCTCGCCGCCATTGGACTCTGGAGCAGTAGAAACGTTCTCTAGAGTGATGAATCACGCTTCACCATCTGGCAGTCCGACGGACGAATCTGGGTTTGGCGGATGCCCGTCGAACGCTACCTGCCCAAATGCATAGTGCCAACTGTAAAGTTTGGTGGAGGAGGAATAATAATTCTAGACAATTCTGTGCTTCCAACTTTGTGGCAACAGTTTGGGGAAGGCCCTTTCCTGTTTCAGCATGACAATGCCGCTGTGCACAAAGCGAGTTCCATACAGAAATGGTTTGTTGAGATCGGTGTGGAAGAACTTGACTGGCCTGCACAGAGCCCTGATCTCAACCCCATTGAACACCTTTGGGATGAATTGGAACGCCGACTGCGAGCCAGGCCTAATCGCCCAACATCTGTGCCCGACCTCACTAATGCTCTTGTGGCTGAAGGGAAGCAAGTCCCCGCAGCAATGTTCCAACATCTAGTGGAAAGCCTTCCCAGAAGAGTGGAGGCTGTTATAGCAGCAAAGACCAACTCCATATTTATGCCCATGATTTTGGAAAGATGTTCGACGAGCACGTGTCATTCATACATATAATACACACACACATATACACACTACCATTCAAAAGTTTGGGGTCACTTAGAAATTTCCTCGTTTTCGAGAGAAAAGCAAAAAAAAATTGTCCCATTTTAAAATAACATCAAATTGATCAGAAATACAGTGTAGACACTGTTTAATGTTGTAAATGGCTATAGTAGCTGGAAACGGCTGATTTTTTTTATGGAATATCTACATAGGCGTACAGCGGCCCATTATCAGCAACCATCAGTCCTGTGTTCCAATGGCACGTTGTGTTTGCTAATCCAAGTTGATCATTTTAAAAGTCTAATTGATCATTAGAAAATCATTTTGCAATTATGCTAGCACAGCTGAAAACTGTTGTGCTGATTAATGAAGCAATAAAACTGGCCTTCTTGAGACTAGTTGAGTATCTGGAGCATCAGCAATTGTGTGGTTCGATTACAGGCTCATAATGGCCAGAAACAAATAACTTTCTTCTGAAACTCGTCAGTATATTCTGGTTCTGAGAAATGAAGGCTATTCCATGCGAGAAATTGCCAAGAAACTGAAGATCTCGTACAACGATTCTTCAAAGTAGCCACCCTTTGCCTTGATGACAGCTTTGCACACTCTTGGCATTCTCTCAACCAGCTTCATGAGGTAGTCACCTGGAATGCATTTTAGTTAACAGGTGTGCCTTGTTAAAAGTTCATTAGTGGAATTTATTTCCTTCTTAATGCGTAAATATGTCCATTGGTCTGATGAGTCCAAATTTGAGATTTTTGGTTCCAACCGCTGTGTCTTTGTGAGACGCAGAGTAGGTGAATAGATTATCTCTGCATATGTGGTTCCCACCGTGAAGCATGGAGGAGGAGGTGTGGGGGTGCTTTGCTGGTGACACTGTCTGTGATTTATTTAGAATTCAAGGCACACTTAACCAGCATGGCTACCACAGCATTCTACAGCGATACGCCATCCCATCTGGTTTGCGCTTAGTGGGACTATCATTTGTTTTTCAACAGGACAATGACCGAACACACCTCCAGGCTGTGTAAGGGCTATTTGACCAAGAAGGAGAGTGATGGAGTGCTGCATCAGATGACCTGGCCTCCACAATCACCCAACCTCAACCCAATTGAGTTGGGATGAGTTAGACCGCATAGTGAAGGAAAAGCAGCCAACAAGTGCTCAGCCTATGTGGGTACTCCTTCAAGACAGTTGGAAAAGCATTCCAGGTGAAGCTGGTTGCGAGAATGCCAAGAGTGTGCAAAGCTGTCATCAAGGCAAAGGGTGGCTACTTTGATGAATCTAAAATAGAAAATATGTTGATTTGTTTAACACGTTTTTGGTTACTACATGATTCAATGTGTTATTTCATAGTTTTGATGTATTCACTATTATTCTACAATGTATAAAATAGTAAAAAATAAATAAAAACCCTTGAATGAGTAGGTGTGTCCAAACTTTTGACTGGTACTATATATGTGTGTGTGTGTGTGTGTGTGTGTGTGTGTGTGTGTGTGTGTATACAGTTGAAGTCGGAAGTTTACATACACTTAGGTTGGCGTCATTAAAACTCGTTTTTCAACCACTCCACAAATTTCTTGTTAACAAACTATAGTTTTGGCAAGTCGGTTAGGACATCTACTTTGTGCATGAC